GTTAATAGCTTATACCTCGTGGCCTAGTGTTTAGCGTAACTAATGATTCGCGTCCCGTTGCCGTAAAAATTAAAATAAAATCACACTTCACACTGTTGGACCGTAGGCGCGTTGAGTGCGTAGATTGCCCATATCCATTGTGTATCGCTCGGCATGGCCAAGTGGTTAGGGCGCTCGACTCGCAATCTGAGGGTCGCGAGTTCGAATCCCCGTCAGACCAAACATGCTCGCCCTTTCAGCCGTGGGGGCGCTATAATGTGACGGTCAATCCCACTATTCGTTAGTAAAAGAGTAGCCCAAGAGCTGGCGGTGGGTGGTGATGACTAGCTGCCTTCCCTCTAGTCATACACTGCTAAATTAGGGACGGCTAGCGCAGATAGCCCTCGTGTAGCTTTGCGCGAAATTCAAAACAAACAAATAAACCCTTGTGTGTCTTTGCGCTAATATCCGAAACAAACTAAACCAAATTTTAAACATGTGCTTGAACTTGTCGTTACACGCTGCGCTTTGTTTTCAGTGAAAACCTGTTTGTCCAGGTAGTTGGCATTGACATTTATAAATGCTCTTTGTCTCTTTGAAATCGCATGGCTGGACAACTGCCCAGTTCGCTTAAATCAGGTCACGTATAAACTGTATTTAAATGACACGATTACTTTGGTTTTATTCATTTTTCAGACCTAAATACGTGGCATTTAAATTCATTTAATCTGTGATGCATTTAGACAAAATCACATTGCCTAGTTTATTTTCAGACGTTCTTATCATTCTGCTTCTCGACCAATGGACGTAACACTTTTTATTTTTGGTTTGTTCACTCTCCAATCTGTCTTTTCATTTATTACAATCTGAACCAAAGCTTTAAAAAAATTATTTCACCACACTTTTTCAAAAAAAATGTGTAAATTTTCTTTAGAAAAACGATGTTTCTGATAACCTATACAAAGAATATCTCGTTTCTTTCTGCTACTTTTAGTATATTAGAATAACTTTCACCGTACTATCGAATTCGTTTTCTTTTCTTGGTGAATAAAGTGCACTTGTCAAGAACTTAAAATATTTATAACTTTAAATGTATTTCACTCCAAGTATCACTTTTATAATTCGTCGTTTAAGAAACTGTTTTATATTTTAAAATCGCATACCTATCTTATTAAGCTTGTGCATAAGTTATGCTTATAAGTGCGGTAGCTACTAGGCTGCACTAGCGAAATAGCAAGCAATTTGAATTCGTTAAATATAGCGATTTTTAAAAAAATATATTTAACCGACGAGTGTCCGCATTCACTTGCATATTGGGGACAAAAATAAATCTGACAACGATTTCAAAACTCTAACTATTGGTAGTTCTGACAAATCATATTATAACTATGTAAATAAAAAACTGGGAATTTTGAAAACCTGAATTAGATCGTAAAAAAGTAAGCAAACAAGGCTGGGGATACTGTAGACATTATTTACTCGAACTACAAACCCCCTATTTTGGCTTCATGGTGTTACGATGAATTACATTTGGTCGAGTCAAAATAATGTACTCGTAGTTTGTAAATAAATAATGTCTACAGTATCTCCAACCTCGTTTCTTTATTTTTTTACTATCCCTATTGCAGATTTTTAAATTCCCAATTTTTTATTTAATTTGTTTGCTGGCTTTTTTTTATGCCCAACTATGGGCAAAGAATTACTTGATATGGTAGCTAACTTTATACACTGTAATTATAATAAACATAGTCAGTAGCTAGGTGATACGGTCATGATGATTTACTGTAGCTATTGGCTATTTGATAGCATTAGTTCGATATGTAAAATGTTAACCTGCAGCTGAAGATTGTCATGGAGATTTGTTTGAGAATATAGTGAGCATTCATAGTTTCCGTGTAACTAAATTCTCTATATATAATGCATAGCAATGGGCAAATATATGCCTAGACTTAGACACAACTTCCACTAAGCTTGTATAAAATTTACCAATAAAAAAACAGCATTTTCATTTAAAACCATAGAGGTCTAAAACATCGTTTTAGATAAACCTTCGTATCTTTTAATGTAATTATTTTACGAATGAATGTAATAAAATTTAATATTATGTGTATTGATTTTTTTTACTCCTTCACTTTATGCATAATATAAGGGTTGGCTCCCTAAAGACACCGATTGTATAGTGTACAAAGCATTGAGTACACTATATTATTGGCTGGTTATTGCTATTTGACACTGCACTATAAGTATGATGTTTTTTTAGCATATGTAAAATATAGAAGAAACAAATCGTCTTTTCAATACCCCTATGACCTTCGCAGTACCTTATTTAGTATTCTACAAAAGGTTTGGTGCAATATACCAAGCCGTTTTTGTTATAGGCTGGCAAAAGAATAATAATAAGAATTACAAACCGGCCGTTTTGGACGGATTTTCTTTTACTTGTAAATCTAACATGCGTGCTTTTTTGTGCATTTTTATCTGTGTACAGCCTTGGCAGTCAATAGTAAAAGTTCTAAAGTGTTGTTTGAACTAAATCGTTACTGTTGCTTTTTGCCCGAACGTTCTATTATGGTTTTGTGCAATTCCTTGCGATCTCTATTATGAACCACTATCGTGGTTCATGATATTAGAATTTTAAAGTGGCTTCATTCCAATAATTTTTCCCATTACTTTTCATGCATACGTACTTAAAAGTGAATCGCACTGAGAGTTGGCCAGTTAGGAGTAATTTTTATTTTATTTTATAGCATCATGAGGACCATTCCTAAGTCTTGGCACAACCTTGCAAATATTCTGTTCTAAATGGATAATAACGTGGTAAAATGAATTGTATAAGATAATAATAACTCACTTGGATTTTTATTGTTACGTTTGATGATTACTGAATAAACTTTCATTTATCTTCCTTGAAACTAACTGACTTGTGTCTGTAAGTCGTAAATTGAAAGTATACATTATTGTTTTGAAAAAATATATTAATGCTTCCCAATTGTTTGAAATTATCCATATTACATTGTATCTCACCATAGTTTAATGACAAATGATGTATATATGTATTATTATTTTCGCAAACACATTGTTCACATGCATTCAGCGTAGTATTTATTTAAAACCCATGCTTTTTTTTTTATGTGTCGTAATTAGCTTGGAGACGATTCCCAGAGAGAAATTGAAAGCTTGCTCAGTGGTATTAAACGAAGACGGTCTGTTACTCCGAAGGCTTTATAGTTCGAAGATGTAAGTTTGTTTGTTTTTTAACAGTTAAAATGTTAAATTTTCATTTGAGATTGCGTTAATCTACTATGGACCCATGAATTTGTTTATTCATTCACATTTGACTTGTATCGCGACAACCCAAAATCTGTGATTATTGAACCTTCAGAATACTGGACGGTCACCATATTGAACGCGGAGAAAAAAAAATCAGATTGAGTTATTCATAGATAAGTCTTATTTTACCGATTTCCTTTTCATTATATTATTATCATTATTTCTTTTTTAGATAAAGTTTGTTAAATTTGCATTGGTTTTTCAGCCTTTTGTCCGTCTGAGCAGTTGTTGAACTTGTCATGTGTGTTTTCCTTCGGTAATGCTCGCAAGCCATATTTTTATTTCTGTATTTTAAAAATGTTATCTGACTACGTAGGTCTATTCGCCGGTACCTTTGTGTGATTTTTTTTTAACCTACGCAGCGCCTACGGATACAATTTCCCTGGTGTTTGTGCTAGGCCTACATTTTCAGGGTTAGCTACACTATCTTTACTCAGAAATAACGTTAGGTGGTCAGTATGCTTCATGCCCGGTTGTAGATACATAAATGTATGTATGTGTATATATATATATATATATATATATGTGTGTGTGTGTGTGTGTATAAGTATATATGACAAAAGTATGTTTTGCGAATGCGTGCGTGAGTGCAAAAAAGGAGCTGTATAAAGGAGACCAGAATTCCAATTCATGTTACAGAACACCCCTCGCTCCAGGGTAAGGAAATGTCTTTCTTACTAAAAATAGCTAAGACTTGCAGTAAAGGGACGGTGGGCAGTATTCTGTATCCTTTCATTCCTTCCTGCCAATTTTTTGTGTGAAAGCATATTGTGTTCAAGGTCATGAAGTTTGTCTTGAGGCATGTGACAGCTCTTAATGTGTGTGTGCACGCGCGATCAAAGAATACTACAACGAGGCTTATCCAGATGGAGTAAAAATAGAGGTATGGACGCACAGGACTTTAGAATATAACATTTAACTATTTAGCTGCCATGCCTTCTAGGTAATATCCTATTAATACCTTCCTACTAACACCTTCAGTTATGTCGTGTCCACACTGACTCTAAATTATATACATCTTGATTCCCTCTCATTTGCATGAAATGGTAAACCACTGAACCTGGTTTCGTACTTTAACTGATGGTTGGTACGAACAGAAACTTCCGGAAGGTTATTGGTCTCAATTAAAGGTTCTTACGAATGGTGTTAGAGCATATGTGGTTGTTTAAGAAGATAATCCGATATTAAAAATCATTCAAAGTTATTTGAATACCTGTATACTTTTTAGTACTGGCCACAGCTTGAAAGTCATTGTTACTTATGTACCGATGCCAGTATTTCAGTCCTGTATAACTTATTCAAGAATCATTATTGCCTAATCACTATATCATTGTTTAAAGCTCATTCCAAATTATATCATAATGATATCAATAAAGATGTTACGCAGGGTATCTGTTGTAGTAGTATGAGTGGAAGTTAGGATAATTATAGTTATTTGTTGGACAGTGTGTTTTGAATCCTCAAATTGCTTTCGGCTACCGTCTTATCTTGGAAGTAGTGAAACACCACAACAGCGCTTTCATAAGCTTTCAGTGCCTCTGGATATAGAATAACCGACCTAAATTTCTTTTGAAATCGTTCCATTTTTTTTTACCCCTTTGCCATACCCCGAAAATGACACGTGACCTTACTATCTGTGTCTCTTCCACGAAATCCGGATGTCAGGAATCCCTACAAACGAAACAACGCCAGAAGTCGAACGGCACGGGAACGTGATTCTTCTTAACAGTGGCCTAGTTTCGTTTAAGGACCCTTCATTCCTTATCGTATTGACCACAGCTGCATAGACCTAACTGACCACGGCTGTAAACCAAAACAGTGAGTATCGAAACTAATGGGTTCAGTTAATGACAGACCGAGAATTTGTTTGAGTTTCAGTTTGCCCTTCATTCTTTCCTCCCTCGAGTTCAGCTAATTTAGTCGGACACTGAGTAGCCTATTCCTCATACAATTCCCATTTGAAAGCTGTCTTAGTTGTTTATCAACCAAATAACCTTTAATTGGTTGAAATTCAACGAACACTCATTTAGTTTTCCAACCACGTTCGTAGTTTTTTGGGGTTTTTAATGTGCACAATTAAAAAAAATTTTAACTGGATACTTACAAAGCCATAAGATTGTAATCCGATTAAGTAACACCGAAAAGTTTCTCTTTTACTTTTAACTCCTATAATAAAAACATTTTGAATATTGATATTATAATCGTATAATTCCAGAAAGAAAAGAAAACTAATTGCATGAAAGAGACAATGTGATCGCTCGCAACAACATGTTTACCTCTGTTTTGTGTCTTCTTTTCTTATAACAATATGGCTGTATTTAGTTATTGTTTTTGTCGCAGGATGACCTTGGAAATGTGATGGTTTAATATATGCTCGTTACGTATGCTCATAAGAAACAAACAGTAGGGAAGGAAATTGCTAACTTTTATCACTACAGTGGAGCACGTGATGTTGCTACACATCCATAGTATGGACAAAAACTAAGCACCTCGTGACCTTTAACCAGGGAGGGATGTTTACTGTGATCAAAGTAAACAATAACTTAACGTTCCTTCTGAGACTTGTAGTCCAGCACAACGTCATTACTCTTAACAGGTAGTGATAACGTGTTTTGTTTTTTTCAAAGGAAGAAAGATTGTCATGTAAGGCGACTTTTGTGTCTGCCCTACTCATTGTCGTCATCTTTACTAATGATCGTTAAACTGAAGATAAGAAGTTAATTAGTAGTTTTGCATTTTTCCATTACATGTGCTAATGGATTTATCAACACGAATTTTTTACCTGACATGTTTGGTCTGAGCTGTCCTAAATGATACTTGATATTATTTGGCCTAGGAGTTTTGTTTTTAATTAATAAGATTTTCTACAATATGTCTATATAGTGTAGGCCAATAATACTTTCACAAAAGTGCCATTGCTATTCTGCAGTTACTTAGAGGTTAAATAACACTACTGTAGACTTAAAAAATTTTATACAATTATCCGTATAATAACCAACAGTATTATCATAATTTGTAATTTTGATTTGGGTCACATATGAATTATGTAGTTTTAGAATGGTTCATTAATTATTAGTATGTTCATGGGAGTTTCAAGTTTTGTTTACATTTTACGAGAAACTGTATTATATAATATTGTAACGTTTTCTGTCGTTGGCCGGGTTCTTTTTATTTATTCAGTAAAAATAATGCAAAGTCCGTCCACATAACGAAAAAGAAAACGTTTTATTTCTTCTACCACAAGTTGTAGAAGCAAGTTGCTAGTATGTTAATTAACAATGTTCTCCTGTAGTTCTGGTATGATTATGAATAAGATATTAGATTTTAGAACTTATGAGTGAAAATAAAGAATATGTTATGTATTAAACACACTACATCTGGTGTATCTCGTGCCGTCGAGGCCTTTTGACCAGTACCAGTGCCCGTCAGACAGACACTTAACGGTAAATTTGCTTAAATTACTATGTCGTTTTTAAACATGATTTTTAGCTTACGATTTTGCCCTGGGTTACCAATAAAACAAGTAGCAGCGCTGCTGTCGTTCTGAATTGATTCGTATCTATGTGATTATTATTGTAGGTTTAATGTTTGGCACTTAGTTACAAGCTAGAAGTATACCTATAAGTAAAACATTGGTTATGCATTACTCATTACTTTTGGAACAAATATGTCTCGAATAAGTTATTTTTAAGAAACTAAATATTTCAAAATTCTTCAAGATGGTGTATGATGTTTCTTTTCAACACACACACACACACACACACACACACACACACACACACACACACACACATATATATATATATGTATAGTATTGTATGTATGTATATGTATGTATGTATGTATAGTATATATTGTATATTAGTATTAGTTAT